CGCACAGCTTCATCCGTGTTCAGCCAGCCCCAACAAGGTGAAACATCAAGACAATTTAAATAGTTGTAAAAGTCAGCGTAGGTTACATCCTTGTCAAGACTACCGATTGGATGGATACGACTGTGCATTGCGTTGTACAGAATGCGTCCATCCACAACGGGGGATATCAAAACATGGCTTCCAGATGGTAAACGGGCATCAGCCTTCTCCAATGCTGCAGTTAGATGTCTATAATACCCTTCGGGTGTCGTAACGTTTGGCGGGCGAGCGCAAACATCATTGCCAAGCATGGAGAGAAACAGCAGCGCCGGCTTGACAGACTGCGTCCGGTTCCGAGCGACAAGATCCATCATCTCAGAAAGCTGTTCGGTTGTGGCGCCATTTATACCCAGATTCTGGTAATCTCGGTGATTGCACCTGTTCATATTGAGCAACTTACTATACACGGATGTCATGGGGCCTTCCCGATTTGGCTTGTAATCGGATGCGTCAGCAAAACCGGTGATGCTCGAAAGCATCGGCCAATCCAGTTCGTTCTCAAGGATGTGTGTAAAGTTAGCAAACCCATCAGCTGAAAGCTTGCTGACCATTACAAAGTCCTCTGGAATACCAAAGTGTGCCGTTACACTATCTCCCACCGCGATGACGCCCATGGCTCCCGAACTGGCACACCACATCTCTTCGTAAGTTTTTCCTGTCTCTTTGTCCACACCGTAGATACCGTTGCAGTTCTCATCCTTGACAGCGTCCAGTGTGTTGCGACCGGGGAATACTGCAGGGTTCTTGTCATCACAGTCACGGCCTCGCCAGTCACTCCCACGGCGAGTGGAATGCGTCGAGAACAGGTCGTCGTCACTATCGTAGTGCGGATGCAGTTGGCTCTCAAGGCTACAGAGCTGCGGAATGAATTTGCAGATGTTGATTGTCTTGGCATTCTGCAGTCCGTAGTATTCCTGCAGATTCCTTACTGATGTCCTCTCGTTGCTCCTGGGAAACAGGTGGCACTCGGGGTTCTTACAGTACGAGAGGAGCTGGCAGACCACGTCAGGACTCTTATTCTTATCAATAAGAGAAAGGGCACGGTTGAAAAGGACGGCACTGGCAAGACGACACAAAACGTCTTCCTTGAAAGAGAAAAAGCCGCAAAACATGTGAAGTGCCCCCCTGGCAGAGACGTTGTGCAACTGCTTGAGCTGAGACACCACGCCAGCACTAAAAGTGCAGGCGACACAGTCCCAGTGCTGGATCATACCCTTCTCATATATTTCTCTTTTATCAGCATCCACCACCATCATCCGTGCCTTTCCAAACGGCGCTGAGACCACCAGGAGACCGACAGCGGCAAGGAAAGCACAGCACAGAGTGCGACGGCGTCCTGTATTCATGTGCATTTAGAAAGCCTTTCGTACTATTGTAACTCAGCCTTCGCAGGGTACCAAGTAAAACGAAGAAAGCACTGACCTCAACCAGATAATTAAAATCTTCTTTTCACTCACATACTTCAAGAGTCAAGAATCTAATAATTAGCACCTTTAGCCACTGAGCAGACTCACTGCGGTGCTACTTTCTTTTTTTGAGTTGCTGCAATAGTTTATCCTTTGTCGAAAGCTTATTGGCAGCAACCTGATCAGTTTGTGCATCCTCCACCTTGGCTGCCTCCTCACGCCTCCGCTTGTGCGACATCAGCTGCTCAAGAACATATGCTTCCTGTTCCTCCGCTGTACGACCCGATTGGCGACCCCCATTAGAACCACCAGACACAGATTCTCTTGCAGGGATGGAGCCAGTCGGAAAAGGAGCGCCAGAGCCACCTCCGCTATTCGTAGCTCCTCCGCGGCAAAACACCTTTTCCTGTAGCGCCCGACGCCGTTGCTCTCGCCACGCCGCTGGATCCTTACAGAGCTCCAGCAGATCAGGATTGACGTCGCTCAACGAGCCATCTGTTTCATCCCGCGACATCACAACCTCCTGAAAAGAAGTCGAGAGAGGGAAAAAAAGACATAGACGTAGCGCCCGCAATATCCACGCTAAACAAAACACAAGTTAATCATCAACGCACAATTGTTCGCCGTGTACACCAGAGTAAAGACATCACAGTGGGGTTCAGCTCAAACAGAACGCATTACACAGAACAACATCACGGCATCAGGGAGCCAACAGGTAAGGGCCAGAGAGACAGGGGGTCACAGCAGGTTCATTGTAACTATGACATGATGTATATTCTGATCATGAGGTGGTGTCACTGAAAGCATGGATGGTTGGAATCATTACGGCCCACGAGGAAGGGCTCGAATCCGTCACAAAAGTCGTATTTCTTGAAAGAAAACGTTGTGTAGGTTCGAGCCCCCTGGAGTGTCGTCATTGACGCGCAGGGAAGCTTGCCCCGTTGGCGCCGCCAAGGCTAGCAGCTGCCGGGTGTCTGATACAAATTCGTATTCCACAGGGACCCATGGAGCACGCGCAACATATCTGGTTACGCAAAGAATAAGGTTCCTTGTATATGTCACCACAAAAAAAAATGGGCAAGATAAGAGGGAAAAGGGGGTAAAGGAAGGTAAAAATATGGTGAACAAAAGAGGAGGAGCGACGATAAATCCACCAAAAAAAAGCACAGTTCAGGATAGTGTGTCGGTGAACTCGCGATACACGCGCCAAGAGAAGGTAGACGGGGCACCACTCAATTCACTTACAGAGGGTCCACACCGAGCAATTGGTACGTGTCGTACCACAGTGGGATCGGCAGTCCCGGGCAACGGCCGTTGAGCGCCCCGAGGATGGCCTCACGCCACGAAGCCTGCGCCTCCTCGCAGAACCGCAGCTTCTTGTTTAAAAAAGAGATAGTATCTTGCTCTATAGTTGACGACAGTGGTGGTGCACGGAACTCACCTGGCAACGACACACAAAGAGAAGTGGTGATGCTTGGTATTTGCATGGAAACACCAACATTATCAGACCGTGAAAGGCGCATCACTTCGTCTGCATCCAGTCGTGCCCGCTTCGTCACACGACGTGTGTCATCTTCTCGCGGCTCAGCGAGAATGTACCTCTGCTCCAACGCTGTCACAAGGGCCACCCAGGCATTTCCCTTTTCCACTGGGATGATATCAAGCGTTCGCAGCCAAGTCAAATCATTTCCGCTGATGCCAAGCATATCTCGCAGCCAGGATTGTCTGCTACTGTTACTCCAGACAGAAAGCTTCATCTGCAGGATTTGTTCGAGAAGATTTGTCAAGCCCTCTGTATCCTTCAGTCGCACCAGTGTGTCGACGAAACGACGGAGCACCACCATGCCTCCGCCTCGCTCAAACCCATCTTGGATCTTTTCCACGGACCTGACCAAGATGTTCATGATAGTCACAAAGTGATCAGGCATCTCTGACGTCTCGCAAAAACGGACAAACGCCAAAATCATGTGAGAGCGCTCTTCAGGGAACTCAAGACTCCGAGACACACCAGTTATCTGCTCCAGCCTCGCAAGCCACTGCAGGTGTCGATACTTGTCAACAGCCTGTTTTCCAGCAACAAGAGGCGGGGGTGCTTTCATGTGCGTCTTCGCCGGCATCTTCACCGGGGCCTGTCCGCGTGGAAAGCCCGTGAATCGGGAAATTGGGTGGCCAGAAGTAACAGCGGCAACAGCAGAGCCGCCGCTCCGTGTGTTCTGAGAGTTAGCCGACTCTTCAACAACTGCTGCGGTGACCGACCGCATCAACGCTGGCACCTCCACCGCTGTTGATTCGATGGCATAACCCACCCCTGACCGGAGGTAAGTCTCAATCTTCACGCGGCGCTCTTCTGCAGATGGGAAACGCACATTGGAGGCCAGTTGTTCGCCTTGATATCGAGTTCCCCCTTTTCGCCAATCTAAAAACTTTGTATTGTAGGTTTGCTGCGTCAGAATGGTCGATGGTATCCTCGATTCGTTCATTAAAAGCCGAATGAACTGGTCGACAACGTCCTCCCAGGTAGGTCTCTCAGGCCCAGGGCGAAAGCGGTCATACATCAGCTTGAGCATGTCGCAGCACACCGCGAAACAAATGGCCAACTCACCCTTGTTTCGCCAAGTAAACCGAGTCATCGTTCTGCCGTTCTTCTGAGCTTGATTATACTGCTGCTTGTACTCCTGACGTACCTGTGTGAGAAACATTTCCATGGCTGTACGGAAATAATCAATAAGACGGTAGCGCCCCTCTGGATAGACGTCATAGTTCGCCACAACACCACGCAGTGAATAGCTAGCGCTGGGCGGCGTCTCAATCCAGCTGCTGTCAGGCTTCTCAAACTGCAGACCAGGGTTCATCTGCACTCGACGAATGTCTGTCCCCGGCGTGGAAATATTGGAGGGCGCAGAAGAATTCACGTTTCGCGACAACGCACGAGGGGCCACGTCATGACTGTCCTCGCCTTCCTCGGAAGATGAGCTGCTGCTGCTGCTGCCAGCACCGCTGCTACCACTACTCGCAGATGAGGAGTACGATGAAGCATCGGAAGGAGGAGTAGAGGCTTCTGGGGGCATGCGGTATTTCAATCGTTGTTATTCTGGCTAAGAGCGCATATGGTGAAAGAAAAGAAACCTCATAATAGCACGGAAGCAAGGTGAATGAATAAAACTGAATTACGAAAAAAAAACATTTGCTTCCTCGTTGGAAAAGTTTCCTCGTCGTCTGTCAGTTGTGTAGGAAGAGACACATCCCCATAAGGACTGTGAAAGCAATAAAAATAAAGAAATCATCATTATTTCATCATTGCGGCAATGTCGTGGAGAGGATGTGACGTGCGACTTGCTGCTCCATTTTTAACTGCGCCAAGAGACGGCGCTCAGCAAGAAGGCCGTTCTTGTCGGCACTTCTTGTGATGAACTGAGGCGTCAACGTCCATTCTTCTATAGTGTCCCGCAGCGCATCGCATCTCATGCCAAGGTGGAGAAGAATCGCGCCGCACACCTGTTCCAAATCCGCATTGTCTTCGCCACAGCACGAGTGCGCCAACGCGGTAAGGCAGACGCGCGACACCGTCAGCGGGTCGCAATGCGATGGCAAGACGGCACCGTCAAGCGCCGCCAACGCCACCAGTTGAGTGAGCGGCGCCAAGCGTCGATCTTCAAGGGCAACTTTAAAATCCAGGGTCGTCATTCGCCCCCTTCCTCAGCCCATTACATCCATCCAATAAACGCAGAGAGAAACACTGTTCACCCAATGTAGAAGCTTCACAGTCACAGTTTCAGTGTTTGCGTCCGTGGAAAGTACAGTAATTCAATGTACAGACAAAAAAAAACACCCAGAAACAAATACCACACAGGCCTCGATAATAACGCTTGTAGGCAAACGCGTACAATATACGAAGTATGACATCAGCCCGAGCTGGCATCGTCGATAATTCTACTACTCATTGTGGGGGATGTTAAGTGTACTAGCAGTTGTGTCTCCACCACAACGTCATTGTCGTGCAAGTAGTCAGTTGCGCAGCGGGCGACTTCCCACAGTCGAATCGACACCGCTTGCGTATCGCACAGTTCCAATGCAGCCACAAGGTCTGGGTAGAGAGACACCATCGACACCCGATTCTCCGGGAAAGAGAGAAGATTTGCTAGGACCATCGCACTCGGCCCTGTTGCCGTCATATGCTCCAGCGCACGGCTAAGATGCACGGGACGCCCAAAGCTGCACCTGCTGGGTTGCCTGCGTGGTGGCACCTCCTCCATCTCATTGAGTGGTGGTGAAGCGGCATCCATTGCGCGCTGCACCTTCCTGGAAGCTCGCCTGACAACGTTCGAGTTCAGCACACGGAGCAACGTGTCAATAGCGTAGAAAACGACACGCCGTGACCTTGCCAATTTAAAATGTAGTTTGGGGTGCCCGCAGAGGTTCACAAAGAGGTGGAGAACATGCAGCGCCGCCCGCGGCCTAGTGTGGTGGGCCTCTAGAAGGTCCTGAAGCACTTCAAACAGCGCCTCTTCAAAGACCAGGACGGAACTCACATAGGGAAGTTCAGAAATGCGCCTAACCAACAACACAGCCACATCGCTCATATCCGGATAGGCTTCAGCACGGAGCGCGGCAACAAGTTCGTTTAAAGTATCTACATCCATCACAACCCGCTCATCAAACATCGTGTCTTCTCCAAGGAGACGAAGATAAACAGAGAACACATGCTGACGGAGTCTCGCCCCCGATAACGTCAAGGGCACCGACTGAACGAGAAGATATCGCAGTGTAGGCAAAAGTTGACGGTTACGCCGCAGCTCAGCTCGCTCCTCTAGGTTCGCTCCATCCACACAACGCCTAATAATCTTTGCGCACCACAGTTGTTTTTTGGCCGTGGCTCTCGGCGCCGTACCCTGCATTATGGCATCCTCAAGTCTGTTGATATCCCAGGGAAAGCTGTCAGGGCCTTTGCTCACAGGGCTGCACCATTCTTTGCGTGTTGTCAGCACCATGTTTCCGTCTCCCATCGGTCATCACACAAAATAAAAATAAAAAGAACAGCAAAAGAAAACAAGAAAAACACATGTTGAAGTCTCTCATCGTCCTTTGATCCATCATACATATCATCACACAGTCTTTCAGAGACAGCCCCCAAGCAACAAAATGGGCACAACTGTCAATGCCCGCGGTTAGTCATACACCACCGCACAGCGGCACACACCCTGTCAGCATATATACTGTCAGCGCTCTACAGTAACAATTCGAACCCTTGCTGTTTGTGGATCGTACACAGTAAGTTTCACCACAGATCCAGCCTGCTGAACAGCGGCGGCGAAGTCACTTTTTCGTGAGACGTATGTTCGTCCAACGTGGGAAATAATGCAGCCGACTCCAATCTTGGCCTTTTCTGTGGATGAGTTCGGTGTCACCTCCGTGATAATTACACCCTCCACTTCATCCCCGCCGTCCCGCAGCTGCAGCCCCAACGGTTTCGCGTCCTCGGGATCCGCGGCAGCTCCCTCATTGCTCAACGACTCCGCAAGTGGCAAGAGTGCAGCACCAACACATGACACTGCAGGAACCCGCGCATCGTTCACCATCTGCGCAATGACGCGCTCAACGCTCTTTACTCGCTCACACAGCACGTCAATCTCAGCCCGTGGAACGATTTGCCGCTCCACAAGTTCTACGCGCTCCGCTGACAATGCAGACTGTGCCATAGCACAATGCACATCTACTAATGGCTCTGCCTTGAGCAGTTTGAATCCTTTCGATATAAAAACATTGCACCCCTCCACAATTCTTCTAAGCTCGTTCTGCGTTGTGAGGCCCATCTGATGAATCTCCGCCTTGAGACGTTCCACATCCTTGTCCATTGACTCTAGCCAACCCATGCGTAGCGAGTCCAACTCTTCTCGTGTCTGCTCAACAGTATCTCTAACCACGCGGTCTCGGAAAGCTGACATGTCGGTGGAGGTGCTGGTCTTCAACTCGCGTAGACTCTTAGAGCTTGTGGCAATGGCGATATCGTTAATTTTCTTTAGGTCTGCTGCGTACGAGCGCAGTGAGGTCTCTGCCGCAAGAAGAACACTCTCCTTCGCACTTAATGCCGCCTGTTCCACTTCTACAGAAACCCCAACTTCACTTTGGCGGGGCACCAGGGAGACGATTGCTGGTTGTGGCGCAGCACCCACATGGTCGGCGGAGGCATTCGGTATGCGTTGTGCCTTTGGAGGTACGGCATTGTCAAAGGGCGCGGAACGCAGCTCTTTTTTGAGTAACTCGGTGTCATTGGCGTGTGCCACAAGCAACGTCACCACATCGAGGAGGTACGGCGAGCAAGTGCCACTCCTCAACAGGAGATCAAACTTGCGGTTAAGGGCCTCAGTCATCTGTGGGAGCGTGTGAATGTTTGTGTGTACTTGTTTGCTTGTTTCTTCTTGGATCTGCGTCTGTGTGTGTCTAGCGAGCTCGCGCAATGTTGATCATAGAAAACAAAAAAACATATAAATATATTATTGCCTACAAGCATTTCTTCATCCAATACGTAGAGACCCACTCCGCTACCCTTCGAGTCACCACCGGCCGCCGTCCTTCAAAGTGTCACAGTACAGCTTTCATTTTTTCGTACCTTTCGCAATGCCTCTTCAAAACGTGTATTGTAGTCCCCCGGTGGTGAAACCACCGGTGATACCCTGTCCGTTGCGATGAGGGTAAAGGGCTTCTTCCGTTCCGCCATCATCTCCAGGAGGAAAACGAGGCCCTTTTCAGTTACCTTTGTCCTGCTGATGTCCAGCAGCTCCACCTGCAATATTGCCGGGGAAAAGCGTAGGACATATGCTAAAAATATGACTGAGCTGTCATCAGCGAAGCGGTTACCCGCTGCCCGGAGGTACTTGGCACTATCCAGATTACCGTTGGCCAGCGCAATCGCAACTGGGAGAAGCGGAACCTCACTGAGGTTAATTTCTTCCGACAAGGAAGTAAGCACAGTCATGAGGGCATTTCGCTCCTCTTTTTCTAACTCCCGCGCAAAGAGGTTAAACAACTCGTCTATCAAGCGCCGTGCCCGCGCAGTAGCCTTGAGAACCCGCTCCAGCTGCGCTTTTTCCTCTGCAATCCGAGCCCGTGTGGCCTCTGCTGCCCGCTGAAGCTCCGAAATGGTCTTGCGATCCCCGTCACTATACATTGGCACAGCTGAAATGCCTCACGCCTTCTTGCCCCTGACCCCCAGAACCTACACGCACGCTGCGGTGAATGGGGCCTGCTTGTCTTACTTTGTATTCTCTGTCGTGATTAAAACGATGTAAGAAAGCAAAGCAAGAAACAAAGAGAGTAGGCACACGCGAGCAGGGCCGCATCGAGGGAATGAGGAAAGAAGCAACAAGGCGCAGTTGGGAATGCGCAGCATGTGGTTTAGACGATGCCGAAAGAGCTCTGGACGCCCAGCGCACATGACACCGCGCCCAAAATAAGAAGGCCGCCGGTGGCGCCAACGTGCAGCCAACCAACGGCCTTTGGGTTCCAGAAACCGCATCGTATTGCAAATAACGCAGGGAATATGAACGATACAAAACTTCCCAACACACCGCCAAGCACATTAAAGAGGATGCGCACATTTGGCACAAGCATACCAAGAATCAGCGCTAACAAAGCCAAGACTGCGGCCACTACAACAGAGGCAGTTGTAGCGTTGTCTTCTGGGTACCCCAATACAATCAATATTGAATCCCTTGTGGGGAATATTGCCATTGGAAATGACATCGTCACAGTCAAAGCAATCGCAAAAAATGCCAGAGTAATGTACGGCTTGTCTAGATCGTTCGTATAGTTATGCATGATGTTCGGCTCAGTGTTGACACCAAAGTCAGCAGCTCCAAACACCCCGGCAACAATGTATATAAATGAACAAGATCCTATTGACAAGGTGGCAGCTTTGGTGATGTTACAAGGAGATCGATTCTGCATCTCCGCATACACCTTGGATACAACTGATTGACAGCATATAGAGAAGACGAAAGTATTAAACGACGAAAATGTTTCCATTTCTAGTTTGATCAGTGGCACAGACGTAAGTTTGGCTCCATTCCCAACAGCATTCAAACAAATTGCCATCACCAACACCGTTGTTGACATGGATCCCACCAAAGAGGCGTACCGCAGGGAGTTGATGCTACGCGCCAGGGATAAGGGAAGCATAATGAAGAGCCAAAACAACAACAGCAGTCCTTGACGACCAATGTACTGCTGAAGATGGAGTGCAGCAACAATGGAATCAAGAATGTCACCAATAACAACTACGTAAACCACCGCAACGCCCCAGCAGAAGAGAATAATAATAGAAGCCGTGATTTTCTCAATGAGATACCCAAAGCAATAGTTTGACATCTCTTCATACGTCGTGCACCCAGTGAGCTCCATTATCGCAGCAAGGAGGTATACACTGTACACAGTAGAAATAAAACATAACATGAGAGCGAAAAAAGATAACACCCAGCCGCAGTGGGCCACGGCGTACGGGAGGGCCAGTGTACCAGCCCCCAGCGTGGACGAAGCAAGATTAAATGCGCTGGCTGCCATACCTCCGTCTGAGATGTAGAAGAACCTCTGTTGGAAATACGGAGAAAACGAGTGAGATAGCACAGAAGTCGTATGCTGCAATGACACATCCATCGAGGCCCGTCTCGAATCGATAGGTAGAAAGGTAAGCAACGTGGTGGACTCTGTCAACGGCAGCAGGCTGCATCGTCGCTCCTCGGGGACCACACGCACGTCACTCCTCATCTGCCTCCCACGCAAGTACACGCCTGTCCTACACACCTACATGAAAAGTGGAAGAAACCAAAACAACAAAAAAAATCAGGCAAAGAAACAGGAACACTTCCAAATACTGACCTCATTTTATGACAGTCACACATCCCACGTCATTTTTTCCCCTTTTTTCCTCTCAACACACAAGACCGCATATCAGTCACGTCTAACGCCGCCTTTTCTTCCCTGTCGCTACCATTGAAGTTGATGAAGTTGCTCCCGCAGTTTCTGTCGCTGCAACATCTTTGAGATGCACCTTGAGGTAGTCCAGGTGGATTGTCTCACTGCAGCCACTGCCGTCTTTCACCTCCACAGTTGGCCCCTTGAGGAGAATCGTCCACATCCCATCGTGCGCACGGTAAACAGGATATGTTGTGCCGTCGTCCACCACATTACAACGCGGCACCACCGATGCCTCAGCTGCAGGCGGGGCGGTGGGAGCAGGAAACATCATGCGCTTCGGCGTCGTCGAAAGTGGCGCCGCATCGCCGCCACCACAGCCGCTGTCACTGCTCTCGGCGAGGAGCGACGGAGGTGGTGCGAACACACGCACCTGTGACATCACCGGCACATCTGCCAGAGTGCGATCCATGGCTGCATCGAAGATGTCCCACAGCTGTTCCTTCTGCCCCTCAGTTAGGTGACACACAGACCCCAACTCCGCCAGCGTTGACGCGAGGGCAACGCCAAGCAAACTCTCACGGTACATCGAACGCAATGAGAGCTGCTACTTTCACAATTACATCAAAGGCAAACAAAAAAAAAATTCGAAATAAAAATATGCAATGAGGAAAAATTGAAAGGAAGAAGAATGAAGCAGTGACGCACCAAAAGAAAACTGGTGGGGAACACGCGAGATATCTGCAGACTGCTAGTGACTTTCTTTCCCTCTTTTTACTCCCTTTTAACATTTCTTGTTACAAAGACGGTTGCCCAGATGATGGGGCCAGATCGTATGCCTTCATGACGTACTGAAGGCGCTCCAGTGCAGCATTGGACACCTTCGCCGCCGTCTCCTCGCTGGGAAGCTTCCCCGCATTGCCCCTTGCTGCTTCTAAGAGTGTACGCTGCGCCTCATTTCGCACATTGAGAATGGCACAAGCCCACAAGGCCTGCACCAGAGTTACACCATCAAGTGCATCGCAATGGGTGGCCAGCAGCTGCGTGCAGACATGAATAAGTTCATCGCTCTTTTCCTGCACGGCTGCAAAACTTGTGAGGACACCAGCAGCGTCGGTGGGACTGACGTATCCACCCTGTTTCACAATTGACACAAAGCGAGACGCGAGCAAAGGAAACAGTTCTCCGTCAAACAAATCAAAGGACCCAAGGGCATTCAGTGTAAGGTGTATTTCGTCAGCTCGGAAATCAGCTGCCACTTTGCAAGCACGCTCGGCAAGAGCGCCGAATACCTCCTCTGCGAGAACATTGGCGCGGTAGAAGGCGTCACATGTCTTAGCGATAGAGGTGGAGTCAAACGTGTTACCAATCGCAACGATGCGGTCACCACACGTTGTGAAGAGTGGTGACGAAGCCTTTCCCGCCTTCACCAAGCAGGCGACAAGGGATGCCATAAGAGGGGCAGGCAGTTCGCCCAGCTCCTTCATCAGTCGCTGCTCCAAGACATTAAAAAGAGTGTCGTCGACAAAGTCAACCTCCGCAAATGCGTCGAGGATCGTGACAGGTACAAGTGGGGGCCCTTGCGACACCTGGCGGACAGCCTGATCGCGCAAAACAAGGAAAAGGTCTCTGTGAAAAAAGTGAACACGGGCGAGGGCATGGGCCACATTCGCTGTGTGCGCAACGAAGGTACGAGGGTCTTTCATCACGACAGCCGCCCTGTCGCATAGGGCCTGGTACAGCTCCTCGTGCTGCACCTGCGCCCGGCCGTAGGCATTGAGGAGCACCGCACACGACACGGTGTCTATGGTCGGCGCTAACTTGATGAGGCGACGGATATAAGTGAATAGAACTTCGTAGAGTTGTGGCGAACGCAAAACCAAGCAAGCGTGCACAATGCGGGCGAGTGACGGCACGTCCATTGCCTCCACTGCAGCTGGTGAAAGGCTGCGTTCTAGCACGGCGGCAAACGGTTGTCCTTTGGTGGAAGATATGCGCAACTGTGTCGCAGCATGGCAGATCGTTCCAGCCACGGCAGGAGTCCATGATGTCTTGATGTCGTCGAGAGTTTCTGACTCAAACAGCTGGCGTCCGTGCAACAGAAGCTCTTGCTTTCGCTCCGAAGCACTCAACTGCTGCTGGACCTTTTCTACAGATGAAACAAACGCCTGTGTCGTTATGCAACGCGTCCGCCATGCGTGCGGCAGCGCACCAGCTCCGATGCCGCGCCGCCACATTGTTTTCTACCTGGTGGTCGCGCAGAGATGGCGAAGAAACACACCACCTTGACGCATCAGACACGTAAGTAGACAAAATAAAATAAAAAGTAAGAAAGAAATAAAGAAATAAAGAAAAAGTCACAGATACAGAATAGCCACAGAAAGTCAGGCGTAAAGGAGGGAAGCACCCTATAGAGGTCATGCAATACAACCGCATCGAGCGGCTGAAACAAACAAGCATCAACAGTAGAAGTACACATCTATTGCAGCCTTGAGGAACTAAAAAAGTACAGCTGGAACGCTAATACATCACACCAGTGACGCGCATCCTCGGGAGGAGGGTGGGATATAGGGTTCCTCTCAGCGCCCTTTCTCCCTCCTTCTCTCCTTACTTTCCTCCCAGTTTTATCGCGTTGTCCTTCATATGATACCAACGCTCTTTAAGTACTGCCTCGTTTCGTAGCTACCGTACCCGTCGCTCTGCGAGTCATATCCTAAAGCGGAGGCATTCACCCCTCGGCCCTCCTCTTTGCCCTCACGATAATGATGACTGCTAGTGGAGTTCCACTCCGTGCCGTGGCGTGGATCTTCCCTCCCCAGATCAACCGCCTCTGCACTAATCTCCGCACTGGAGTGTAAACGATGCGACGGATCTACCTTGCGATTGTCCAGCACGATGCGCTGCTGATTCTGAGAGCGAGCAGCGGTGTGCCTTGAAGACGAAACATTCTGGGCCTCCGTCTCAGCACTGAGAGACGAGGAAGAGGGATGAAGTGTAGGTCGGACAGTCGGCTTTGAGTCCTCTAGCGATGCACTGATATTCGCACTCGCAGTGTAGCCTGTGCCACCCGAGACGGAGGCCGCACCAGAGCGATTGGGAGTTGGTAGTTTGCCTCGCAACGACAACAGAAGGGGATTCTCCGCACGGGCCGCACGAACAACGCTGCTCTGGCGCGATCCAGCAGAGGGATCCCACGGAGCAACAGACTCGGTGGAGTGGTTCGTTGCACTATGGTGTGACATGTCTAAATCGTCACGAGGTGGAGTGCAAGAACGCGATGTCTCCTTCGCCGATGATGCACGTGCCGACGGGTACGCCGTGGTGGCGTTCTTGCGTTCAGGATGATGATTTTGGCGCTCACACTGCGCCGACGTCATGGCCTCCACAGTGTCATTGACAGACGATTGTGTAGCCATCGGCGCGGAAACAGTGGCATTTGTGGATGCGTTTACCTCATTGAGGGCACTACCGTACGTTGACATCGTCATTGGCGGCTTGGACAGCCCCGCCAGAGCCATGTGCAGTTGCTGCATCGACAGCGCCATAGATTGAAGCTGAATCTGTATGGCCTGCTGCTGCTGGTACAGTAGCTGCAGCATGAGACGATCCTCGTGGGTAAAGGTAGTGCCGCCCACACCGCCCTCAGCAGGACGCTCAGCAGAGTGGAACAGATTGCGCGAGGGGAACGCCGCCATGGGCGACGTGAAGAAGTTCGGTATGCCAGTGGAGAACGTCGCCGACATGTGCAACAAATGGGATGATCCTTGGCCGAATGCGTCGAGATCTAAGACAGTCTGGGGCAATAAAAGGGTAGAAAAGACACGAGCAAAACCCGGCAAAGAAAAAAAGAAAGAAAGAAAGAAAGGGGCAGAAGGTGATGATGGGAATGGGCAGTTCATAGTGGAACTGAAATCCAAAAAACAAGAGTGCAAAGATATAATTCTCACACATCTCACAAACACCTACAGACACATACTCTTCCTCGCGCGCTCGCTCAATTTTTTCTTCTCTCACCCGCCCTCTTGTCCCCCTTCGTGTTCTGCTTGGCGAGGAAGGTGGAAGACGGAGGGGCCATCGAACATCAAGCATCGAGCAACAGCAGGAATAACAACAACAGCAACAACAACAGCAGGGGCACAACGAAATGCAAAAAAAAAAAGCGTCTGCCCTCAGCAAAAATAAATTCCCTGTGGAATTTAGTCTGGCAACACCTCCCATTAGGAAGGTAGGGAGTGGATAAAGTCCTTCGAGTCAATAATTGTGGTGGAAAGAAGTGTGACACGTGCCTCGATCTTTTCCGTGTACGGCTCGTCGGAAGCGGCGTTACCAGGGGCGTCACCACCAACAAGTCTCGTCATGTTCTTGCCCAAATTCATCAGTGACTCAACATTGTTGCTCACTTGGCCTTGATTGATTTGGTGCAAAAGCATCGACTCAGAATACGTCACACCACCCACCATCACAATTATAATGTCCTTTGCCCGAATAGCAGGCACTGCTGCAGTAGGTATGGGGGAGCTCGCCACCTCCTGCACCGGGTAGTTCTGCTCCGATAGAGTTCCGTTGTACACGCGGTTGATAAGTTTTTTCATAAGGGGGACGTGCTGTGTCAGCACATTCTGCACATCCTTACCGAACTGCCCCACTGCTTTGGCGACCACCTTTAGCATGTGCCCCGTGGACACACGGAATAGCTCATGCAGTCGCTTGTCTGCCCCTCCATACTCCAGCACACGGTCGATAAGGGAAATGCGTGGGGCTGGGCAATTGCGTTTCCCAAGCTCGTCCTTCAACTGAGAGATGATGTTCCCGCTGGTTTTTTCGTACCGTAGCGCGTACAACATGACCATGCGCAGGGCATCGTCAACGTCTGTCTTGGGGTCTTGCACGATCTCCATCATCTGCTTAGAGTGTTCTGCCACGTTGTTGGAGGCAAGCATTTCCTGTTCTAGAACTGACAAACGTGTCAAATTACGCCCATTCACCTCCGTCACCAACTGGCTTGCAATGCCACAATGCCGTGTCACCTGCATAGACTGCTTACGCGCTTCTGGAAATCGGTTCATGAAGTTTTTGATTTCGTCTAGAGAGACATTATTCCTGTCAAAGTTGTTAAGTGCCTTGTACGTCTTCACTAATTCACTCACGGCAATACAGACTTGACCATAGTCGCTGTAGCGGTGCTGTGCAAAGAACGGATCGTTGTGTGCCGTGAGAACATGAACGCGCTCTTCGGGTTTCGCATCAGGATCGTCAATTGTAACTTCATTGCCACTCTGAAATCCAATAATCTCGTGTATCATTGCCTCGTACGTCCACGGAGTGACGAGTGCCGTGACAGGGTCATCCATCCTGTCCAATATAAGCAGGACCGACTCCTTCGCCCTGAGGTCAGGAAAGCACTGGTGCACGCCCTTCATCTTTTCAGATACAAGCTTTGCCAGTTTCTCCGTGACCTTATTCTGACCCCTGTAGCGAATGGCAGGGCGGCGGTTCGTCATGAGTATCATGCTCACTATGCTTTCCGCCATGCGATCAAACGCAGCACTGTCCCACTGCGAGTACGTGATGGGGTTTACGAGAGGGCTAACAGCGGACCGTAAGGTTCCGGGCTTTAGCTGCGTAATGGCCACGTACTCCGTAAGCAAAACAGAATCTAAGTAAATTTCATTAACAGAATTCACGAGATTCAATAAGTCGGCATTCGCTAGTGATTGCACAAGGTTGGACTCCAACAAGTGAGAGAAGTACAGAGAATAGGACGCAAAGTTGCCTTCTGCCAGTTCCTGGTAGACACAGGCCAGCGAGGCAGGTGACGGCCTGCAAAAGATGACACACCGAAAATGCTTCATCGGGTAATGATCCCTGTTTGACAGCATATCAACGAGCACGACATTGTGGTGGAGGAGTTGATGCTGTGAGTACACCACCGACAGAATGTTGCGCGTTGTATCATCGCAGAGCAGAACCTTGAGTCCATCCTGTGAATCAAGCATCTTGTCAATGTACGTCCATGCCTGCTCAATGCAGTTCAAACGCGAACGCGGGGATAGGGCCATCAGTCTGTTGAGAGGGGCGAGCACGCACACTAACTAAGCGCAGCAATAAGGCAGGACAGGGCGAAAGCGTCAATGTTGCAGCAAAAACAATAAATTATATGAAATAAGGAATTATTAAGAAGAAAAAACATGAAACGGAGAAAGTAGAAGCAAAAGAAAATAAAATAGAGAGAGATAGAAACGGGAGCAGTCGAACAATATGCGAACTACAAAGCCTTAACCTTACTTTCGAATAACCGCCTTGTGCCAATACAGAGGAGGACGGAGGGGAAACCATACCCAGCCGACATCATTCCTTTCTTGATTTCTTCAGCACTGGAGCAGCTGCCGTTACCTCACTGCACCCCTGCACAGTGTTAGTCGCATCGCAGTTAGCATGGCACACATCATTCGTGTGGAAGCTTCCCTCCGGAATGCACGAAACCAACTCCATAGGCGCCGCATCCCGCATTCCCAGTTGCTCCTCTGTGGGAAACCCGAGGACTTTCGCCACATCCTCGTAGCAGCTCGTCTCCTGCTGGATTGCCGTCATCAGATGCTTCATTGCACTGATACAAGGTATACTTCGTGTGAGATGATACTTGACGTACATAAACGGCGTCTGGTATTTTACCTGATAGCGCAACAAATCCCTGTACAATTCCAACCACGAGGCAGACGCCAGAGGAGTCTCGCCGACCTCATTAGAAACCACACATCCTTCGGGCTGTTCTTGATGAGAAAATACAGACATATCCCACATGGCATGCCGTGCAATCATCACACTATCAAAGCCAAACTTCGTCATTTTGATTGCACCATCCGCCCGACATGTCACAGACCCATTCAGGACGAAACACATCCTCTCCAGCAGTGGATGGGCACGCAACAGCTTCACCGTCGCTGCCGCCCGATCGTAAAGCGGTGGAGTCTCTGACGTCTGAGTGGTGGTGCGGGCATGCAGTGTGATGGCGTGCACGCGGTTGGGTCCCACCTTCTCCATTACCGAGAGAATCATCTGCGCAGTTGTCTCCGCCGTTTCCAGTAGTCGAGTTTTGAAACTCACCGGCACACGTCGACCGCGTACCGCCACCCTCTCAGGAGCGTTCACCGCCGCATCAATCGCCACCAGGATAGATGCAGCTCTTGCCGTATCCCGCATGAGAGCTGCGCCCATGCCGTTTGCCACACTAAACTTCTTTGGGCATCCCATGTTGACATCGATGCCGTCAACGTCTTCGCAGCACTGCAGCGCAGCAGCAACGCCCATCTCAGGGCTCGACACACCGAGCTGTAGCACCACCGGCGCCCCTTCGCCCGCCCGGTCAGCCGCCGAACGCAGCGGCGTGGAGAACGCAACACTCCGCTTGTACTTCTGCTTGAAGGGCTCGTACGCGACAAATTCAACCATGGGTCCGACACTCTCGTCGCACACACGAACCTCTCGGCAGCAGCGCACCAACTTGGCTGCCACAACTTCTTCAGAAAAGACGACGTCGGCCCCATGTGCGGCGCAAAAGATGCGAAATCCTACGCTCCCAACGCGCACCATTGGAGCAAGCATCGTCTTGCCTTGGTAAAGCGACATGCCGCCGCAGACGAGGGACGCCGCTTCAAAAAAAGAGAACGAGAGAAATAGGAAAAGAAAAGCATAGTAATTAGGGCGAAACAACATGACTACCCGACAAGTGCAAGCTACTTCTCTCTCTCTCTCTCCCAGTATAGGGCCGGGCTTGCAGAGTTTTCCTTCTTGCTATTCCTTCAGTCCCAATGAATGACAGACACCCAACAGGAATGAAAATCCTCTCAAAATGAAACCCCACTCCCGGTTTTCTGCCTCACTACTACACAAGATAGATGTAAAGTACTACGGTTAAAAAAAAAACCAAATACTGTTGCATATTCCTCTGTGTTATGGTTCTAAGCCACACACTAACCTACCCCAGGTCCCTCAAAGTGTCCTAACTTGTCTACTCAGCGTTCAAGTAAACGGCGAACTCGTGGAAATCACGATCAAACTCCGCTTCAATCTCCGCAAACGTGTATGCCGGGCCCTCATCCGCTGCAGGCTCATCAGTCCAGTCAGGGTGCATCACCAACCACGGACGGTTGTGAATGTAGAACCACTGTTGGCACATGGGGCACTTGTTCTTCGTGTAGCCCTTCATCATCATGTAGTAGTTCGACTGCGGCACATGGGGCGCGCAGTTACCGAAGCACAACACAATCTGTTGGTCACCCGGGTTGCCCACAGCCTCAATGCGAATTGGACGATCCTCGCTACCAATCGGTGGCTCGTACAAGTGGTTAACAGCAATGTACGGACGCTCGTTCCACTCTTCGCGGTCATGCTCCTCCAATATAAGAGTGTCATCAGCGTCGAAAAAGTGCCAAACCTTAGCGGGCTCTTGCCAATGAAGGCGGCCGGAACCTGTCACGACATCATCATACACAGGGAGAGCCTGGTCCATCAATTTGCTCATGAATGGACTCTTGCGCCACGTGTCTGGCGGTTGCTGCAACTCATTCAGGTTGTGCGGTTGCACAGGGTACGCTTTGTCCTGGTACGGTGTGGGGCCAGTACCACCTCCAGACAACAGAAGGCGCGACGCGGCCAAGAAAGAAAGAGGAGTCCTGCGCAGCATACCTAAGATTTATTCCCTTTATCTTGTCAGCGCCATGTTCAACACACGCAGAAGGGGGAGAGGGAAAATTGAGGAAAGAAAGAAAGAAAGAAAGAAAGGAAGAAGAGAAAACGACTTATTTTAGCGTCAGAGAGTGTCCACGTGTATCGGTGTGTCAAGTCCGTGTTCGTGGTATGGATCCATTTCATCTCTTCCTTTCCAACGGATGTACAGGCCTCACACTGGTATCTGAAAAGGGGAGTATGGTAAAGGAAGTGAACGAATGGTTCACAACTCTCACTCGAATGCACACACTCACAAAAAACCCTGTGGTATAAATTCGACACAAATACCGGGGGTAACATCATAATAAATCCTCCACTTATCCAAGGAAGAAGCAGCATCTGGAAGACGACACAAAAAAAAAGGAAAACAAAAAAGAGGCAAAACCCTAAAAGCTGTAAAACCAAATCTACATCCTGGTGCAATCCCAAGGATCACAACAGAGCTGCAAAAATGAACCACTAAAAAATTCTGCGTGTCTGAACGGTGGCCAAACACATGGCTACCTTTTGCAGGATATTTTCACTTGATTTTCCATATCCATATAACTGGTCGTATGAGGGATATCACGGAGAGTCGTGGCGCCTCACTATGCCCGGCCAAAAGCCTGCAACATTCCCAGGCTGGTCGTATTATCATTTATAATTTTGCCTCCACCACCACCACCAATACCACTAGTAAAGCGCTCGCCACCACCACCAAAGGCATTTCCATAAGGCCGCCTCGGCGGCACCCGTCGACCCACGGCTGGTTGTCTTGAAAAGCCAGTATCGATGGGGTGCATCGTTCTTTGTTGTCGGATTTGCAATCCTTTTTGATGCCTCATGACAGCAGGCGGTGCACGTTGTCGGTTCTCTTGTTGAGCTGGTGGATCCCTGAGAGAGGCGCCACCCCACATGTCTCGGCTGGCACTCTGTGCGTTTCGTGCCGCCCGCATAGCCTCTTGAAATTCACGATGCTGTTCGCGCCACCGCGTCCGTGGAATGCCAGCAGAGAGCCCTGTGCCACCAGCAGAACTTTTAAGACCCTTTTTCTTTTTGCCGTACGACATTCCAAAACCACCGTCATTGCTGTCGCCCCCGTCTTCAACAGCACGTTGCTTTCGACTATTGAATACTCTGCGCTTTACGTCACCTTTACATACACTTTCATGGTAGGTGATGCGATCGAACAAAAACTTTCGACCGCAATGAGAGCATGGGTGTAAATTCATGTTCTCTTCTGCAAACTCCGGAACATCCGCGAAACCGGTTTGCTGCCGTAGTGATCTTGCCCCACTCACGCCATTACCGCGCGCCGAACAGGTCATTATTTGTTTTCCCCCATTCTGACGGGGCGAAGGTCCCAAACTCGGCATCACTGGCATAGGTCCCACAGGATTGAGCCGCCAACGCTTCACAGCCTTCTCGTAGCACTGCGGGATATGAATATTGATGGATGCGCTGCCAAACCCCTGCTGACAGAGAGGACAAATTCGAAAACGAGGGGGCATACCTGGGCAAGCGTAATATGAGAGAACTTTTTTTCTTTATACGATTCTTCCTTGGGTCCTTTCTTGTTTTTGACTTTTTTTTTTTCGATGGTACGTGGTTGAGGGGGAAACTATATCGATGTATTTTAACTCCTCACCCCTCCACCTCCTTGAAAGACCTTGGCGGTCCCTTATTTCAAACAGCAGGGCTGAAACAGACCAAAGAGACCCCGCATCGTTCTTCAACCTCAGAAGTTGTTCATCTGAGACCAGAGAGCATGGGAAACAACAAAAAAAATTCACCCAATAGCACCCCTAAACATGACGAGTACGCGAATTTATCAGAAGGGGTTTTCCTGATACGTTTACGGTCGTTACGGTATATTACGCAGCAGCACATCCAAAAGATGTCAAGACGCCGTGTACGCACGCCAACACGACGAGTTCACCTCCTTGCGAACATAACACCACTTGCGGAGTAAAAGGACCCGCAACGCTGTGATGGTAACATGGCAGTAACCATACGAGAGCAGTTTGGAGTGCAGCACTTCTCTTTGTCACAAACTCTTCCACTGAAAAATAGAGAAAGAGAGAACGACTAGAAAAACCGGAATTGGAATCCTGTTTGACGGTTACCCTGATGGGCACCAGGGTAACCGAAACCGCGTGGCATTTCACCCTGAGACAACCCGCCTCCGAACATGTGCATCAAGTTGATCATATCATCGCTGAAGGGAGGCATCCCAGGAGCCGCGGCGCCCTCTACGGCGTTGTCAAGGTGCCCATTGTCATACATGCGCTTCTTTTGCGGATCAGAAAGAATCGAAAAGGCCTCACCTACTTCCTTAAACATTTTTTCAGCGTGGTTCTTCTCATCTTCCTGGGCGTGTGCCCACTTATCCGGATGCCACTGCAAACACGCCTTCTTGTATGCACGCTTAATGGAGGCATCATTATCTTCGTTCTTGGGCAAACCAAGAGTTCCATAGTAGTCCTTCCGCTTTCCCTTCTTTGCACTTGCTTTCATGCGACGCAACTCACCATTGTACGACTCGTCCATCTCAGCTGCTCTCTGAATATCTCTCACAGCATCAGCATAATTATTTAATTGCTCATGAATGCGGCCACGGCGTGCATGAAGCTTGGCGCTACCACCACCATTGTTAATAGCAAAATCACAATCGAGAAGAGCACTTGAATATTCCTTTAGTTCCATCTTTGCAGCAGCTTGATTTCCCCGTAAAGTAGCTACCATTCTCACATTGGTAGAGTCCAGGTCAATGGCAGCTGTGTACGCCTCTATAGCATCTCGGAATCGTTTCTCTTTGAATGCAGTATTTCCCTTCTCCTTATGAGATTCGACAAAACGAATCTTTTTCAAAAGAGTACTAGCCTTCTTATTGTCGGGATCCCACTCTAATACCTGACGGAGAATGGTCTGTGCACTTTTTAAGCCGTCCGGTCCACGGTAGTAGCTCGCCAAGGCCCATGTGTAAAGGTACGATGGATCATTGCTGTGTGTTTGAGTGAAGGACATGAGAGTACGTGTCACTTCTTCTGGGTGCTTCGCTGCCCGAGCCTCGGCGATCATAAAGGCAACAGAGGCGCAGTACGGAAAGGCTCTATATGTCTCTATTAGTGCCTTCTCTGCGCCAGTGAAGTTTCCCTCTGCAAGAAAACGTTGTCCTTCCTCAATGGCTCTTTGACCCTCTTCAGCAACTGCTTGCATTTCCTGCAGATGCTTAATGTCTACCTTTGGTGCACCAGAACTCTCTAGATTCTCGACACCCTGCTTCAGTTTCTGCGCAGCCTCCTGGAAGCGGCCCAGGTTACACAGCACGGCGTGAAGACGTGAGTATGCCTTGGGGAAAGTCTTGTCAATCGCTATTGCTGCCTCAGCGTCTTCCAGGGCCGCCTTAAATTCGATTTTCTTTGAATATGCGGCACTTCGGTTCGAAAAAAGAGTGACCTCCTGCGGGTTCATTTCGATGGCTTTTGAATAAAGTCTGATAGCCTCATCGAATGCACCGTTCTTGAACGCAATGTTCCCCTCTTCACGAAGCCCACTCCACTGGGCAGGGCTCGTGTTTTCTCCACTCTGCATCAATTGTACTACCTGATAATGAGCTCAAAGCCTTGCTCACCTCCCGTATATATAACTTTCTTTTTTTCCCTTGCTGTTATTACCTTACTAATTACAGAATTTGGACGTTATCGTCGCACCTGAAGAAGTGTGAATGTGAAATGAAAACAAAAACTGTCTGCAGAAGCATGTGTTGATAATATATGTATACATGTATGGAATGGAAGGGAATGCAAACTCCAACCTATAAAACTAGTAACGAGGCGCATTGTTACAGGCACGTAGCCACCGCCATTACCACAAGGACCCGCTTTGCGTCTCGATGTGATGCACAGTAGCGTGAAACAGTTTAATCATTTTTTTACGTATGAACCTCACGGCGACCCTTCTTCAGACTCAGCTTCGCGTTCAGAGGACAAAGTTGTCTCCCATAAATTTCTGTTCATATTTTAAAACAATAATAACAACAGACCTCACCGAATGCAACAGAATTCCAACAGTAGAGCCACGGCTTTACTTCCAACACTCCACAGAAACCGTCACGTCGTGTCCTCCTCTCTTTTCCTTTTAATCGGTGCACGGCTCCGACCCCACCCAACCACCCACCCCAACTAATTTCAAAGCTTATTCCTTTTCAGCCCCCACATGAAGTCTGCTCTCCGTCGTGCACGCGGGAAAGGAGCACACCAAGGAAAAACAAAGCACAAAGACATGGCGTATGTATGTATGTATGTATGTCCGCATGCGAAAGAAAGAATAAGAAAGACAGGTACAAAGATCTTCCATAAAACCAGTTGTACGCCACTATTCTTTCTCTCTCACGCACACACACACATATATATACATACTCTCTCCGTCTCTTTTCTCATAGAGACCGATAGGAGTTTTTTTTTTTTTGCTTCGGCAGCCTGCACACAAATATGTCACGAATACATCGTCAACTCTATGAAACAACACTACTGCAAGCTGGTGAAAAAAAGGTCATGCAAAATATCCTTCTTTGCCTTGACCACCACGTCGCGGCACAAATCATTGACGGCAAAAGATATCCCAAACGTCATTGCACCGATCGACCACCCAAAGGGCATTTTTCTATATAAAGAAGCATAGAATCCGGGCTTCATAAATATATTCTTCAGGTCACCAAGCCTTGAGTACACAAGTTGCTCCACTTGCCGCTGGCGTTTAGCTACGTTAAGAGGATAAGTTGAGATCTGACCAGCAACACCAGCTAGCATTCCAGCGAGGAGTCGTTCACCAAAATTATCACAATGATAACGTTCCTTTATAAATTCGTATGTTGCAAAGCCTATACCAGCAAGAGGGCCAATGCCCATGACAGCGAGCGAGCAGCCCTCCCACAACGAGCGCATGCCTTTCTGTCCCGCCATATGACGAAGCATCCAGTAGTATGATTGAGAATTAGGTGGAAGGGTGTTTGTAGCGGCTTTGGCACGCACAAGATCCAATGGATATACTATAGCCGTTGCAAGTGCTGCTGCAGACCCACCAGCAACAAAATTGGTGGCTGGTGTAGGGGTAACGGAAAACATAAGACGCTCGGCAGCTGTTTGGAATACATCATAGAAGCAGTAAGTTAGCGCTCCATAGGGAACGACTCTCACCATCATGATTCCACTACTTTGCCACATGTTTGGGCTCTCAACAAGCATATCACTCATCATTGCGATACCTTGGCGGCCAAAAGTATGCGGGTCTGACACACTCATACCTACTTGGTACATAATTTTTAAACGATCAAATGGCACAGTCCAAAGTTTTGCCACTCCAGCAGCAACACCACCACATGCAAATGCCTCGGGAATTGTTACCAGGCTCTCCCGGTGGGACAGCTGGGCAGCCTTCGCATCATACTCCCGCATACGACGCTTGATGATGTCGTTAATGGTGAAACCGGTAGCGACAGCAATCGGCCCCTTGATCCAGTTCATTTGCAACCCCTTGTACCAGCCCTGGGCCAAGCCCTCCTCCTTGTAAATTGTTTTAAGGGCGTGAAGAACACCACGGTAGCGGCCAGGTGAAACCTGCATACGCCGACGAACAATATCCAGAGGGTAGGTGGCAGACTGGGCAATAAGACCAGCAAGCCCACCGGCAATCATCCGCTCGTGCACCGGGATCGACTTATCTGATGGAAGGTCTCGCCACTTAATAATATATTTTTTTAGAGATTCAAAAACCGCAAAACTGCATCCTGCATATGGCATTATTCCCACGAGTGTGGGAACTAGGCCAGAGTAGAGTGACAACCAGCCATGCGTACCAACAAGCGTTCTGTACGCAATGCGGTAGCTTGGAAGGGTCTCACCCGTACAACTGTGGGCCGCTAATCGTGCCCGCATCATATCCAAGGGGTAGGTACAGGCCGTTGCTGTTGCACCAGCCAGCGATCCGCTCAAGAATCGCAAAGTCACCGCAAGACCTTCCTCTTCCGTGCCGTCAGCTCGCTTCGTGTTTACAACCTGACAAAGCGCATGATGATAGTAGTCAAACGATGCGAAGGTGGTGGCAGCGTAGGGCACCACACGCATCATCATGGCACCGTTGCCAATCCAAAGACCTAGAACCCCATGTTCACGCACAGTGTCAACACCCAATCTCACGGCATTGAGTAAGGTAAACTTTCGGCCCGAATCAACTTGAAATATGATCTTTACCCTATCCCCAGGCGCAATGACTGTCTTGCTAATGGCTCCAGCAATCCCTCCTGCTGCAAAACCCTCCAAAAAACGCACAACACTTTGAGGAAATCGATGGGTACGAGTCGATTGTTCGTTTACAGTAAGATCACTATATCCCACAAACCGGTCAAATGTAAACTCTTGTTCGCCTAAAGAGGCGAAACGCTTTTGATTTTCCTCACAAAAACGAATCCACTGCTTTTCTGACAGCCCGCCCATACTGTCTTCGTCGTACCGCTCCACAAGTTCGCGGATCATCTTCTCTGGTAGAGGAATTAAAGGGGCAATTTCCTTTACTATAACATCAACGGGAACATAGGGTACCCCGGTTTTTGAGACGGCATTCGATGAACTCTCATTGGTATCCTTAACCAGCATTTAAATCCAAGAAAGAACACTACGGGGGAAAAAAGTCAGTCCAAAAACAAAGACTCGGGTTCTAGTGGCCTACCTTGCTGTGGAAAGGAGAGATCTACACGTAAGCACCTGTATATTTTATTTTTTTTCTTTTGATTACGTTCTTTACAGGGCCCGAATTATCTCTTTTTTCGGCTTCTTTCCCGCTGGTACATAAAAGGAAAAAAATGCAGAAAAAAAGAGACAAAAAAACCCGTTGTGACACTTAATATTACAACTACACCCGTGCTTAGTAGCATTCTTTCATAATCAATAATTCTTGCACGGTCCACAACGCAAGGTAAACGTCATCACCGCTGCTTCAGAGATCGACAACTAAACGAGAGGAGACACATGAGTGGCCAACCAGCACACTTCTCTCCTTCACTCCCTCATTCAGCGTAAGTAGAATCCCATGATAAAAAAAATGGTGTTGAACATTTCAAGGACCAAAAAAAAACATTCTCATCAATTCATTTTTGTTGTGCAAAAGCAATCAAAGTGAAAAAAGAGATAGGTAGGTCCAACTTTATGGAGGCAGCTCCACACAACACGTCCCTCTGTAACAGCATGTGCTCCCTTTTTTTTTTTCTGCATCTTACAGAACGTCCATTTTGTCACGCTTTCGTACATAGGCATCAAGCTCCCCCTTGATGCTACGAAACTCCTCTTCGTAGTCTCGGCCTTCCAGACGATATAATCGCAATTGTTCTGCAGCATCTTCGTAAAGCGCCTTCATTCGAGTTAACTCACGGCGTGCCACCTTCAACTCAATCTGGTTGGAACGTTCTTCCTCTGATAGTGCAACATTGCTGGATACACTACGCTTCCAGCAGCTATGGATATTCTCTACATAAGCATCAACCTCACGTAAGGTGGGAACCGACGAAAGGCCCTGGGCTAAAGGCTTTTGAGAAGCTAAACGGGGCAGAACTTCCCGTCGTATCAACAGTGGCGACTCATATTCCTCAACTTTTCTCCAGTAGATGGCATCTGAATTTAATTCAGCATCGTTAGGTGTTTCCGTAATAAATGCCTGTTGGTCCCGAGACGTCATCCCACGTGACATGGGGACCCTTTTTCGGGGTTCAAAAGGAGCTAAAATATGTTGCGTGGCAGGGTCATAGAAGTTTACAATCCAATCCATTTGTGGGAAACGTGACATCAACTCACCAACTAATTGAGCAGCTGTAAGGAGAATTCCTTCATCCGCTCCATCAAATGTCACACTTCCCTGCAATTTATTCTCCACATGAACCACGGCCAAAGCCCCTGCAAACGGTGGATCACGGGCAAGGGCAGGGAAAATAAGCAAACTCGATGTTGTTTTCGAACCATCTGTGATATGCTGGTTAAAAGCGATTCCACTTGCCAAGACTTCCGCATCCGCGGACCCCAAACACCTGTGACGAACTAACTGTGGGGGAAAGGAAAGCTTAGCAGAACAGTTGGCAATTGATACCATTTCATCCCCCTTACGAACAAAAATATGTGCTGTAGACGCTTTTAGGAGCCTTGTTGCGCCTTCGAGAATATTATACAACGTACAAGCCAGGTAGCGTGAAACCTCTTTTGATACCGCTAGTTGCCCCTGTGGGCATTTTGCTCTTGGCACGGGAAATGCGCTGATACTTGAAGGTTTTGTAACTACAAATTTTTTTGTTGAACTTGCACGGCATTGGGCAGATGGTTGCCTGCCCTGTTGAGGTATATCAGGCAAACCGTCAGCACGCCGGGAACGGTCCCTTTCACTGAAATCCTTGTATACCTGTAGCCTCTTCTCTGTAGATGACTTTTCTATATTCTCCACGGCACGTCGGATCCTTTCCGTTATAGGAGTTACTTGATCTGGGCGTAATCTTTGTTCTGTCTTTGCGAGTGTGTCTAAAATATCGGCAACAAGTCGAAGCTCATCCAACTGTTCATTAACTTTGCATGACATCCGCTCACAACACAGAAAAAAAAGGGCCTCCTTGGACTAGAAATCAATCTTTACAAAAAAAAAAACAAGGTAAGAGAGAAAAAAAACACATAAACGTATAATAATCATATTATATATTTATACAGATTCCTAAAACGAGATGAAACAAGCAGAGAGGCACAAAAACCAAAAAAGCTATCAAACGTTCAGGTATTCCGCACCCATAGGAAAAATTGGTGGGCACACATTTCCCAAGTAAAAATTCTTCACTAAATGCTCTTTTATCACAGCATCCGACTCTAACCTTGACTAAAAAATGCTGGCTTAAACTGAGCAACAATAATGGTCATATTGTCGCAGCCAACTCCTTGCGCCCTAGGGGCCAAACATTTATCCAACACCATTTCACAAGCCAGTCCAACGTCATTATCAGTTTCTATCAAACCTAGCTTCACGAGTTCACAGCAATCTTCATTAGAGAGAACATCCCAGACACCATCGCAAGCAATAACAACAAAAGCGTCTTCTGGTGTCCACTTAATTCTACGCACGTCCGGCAATGCAGTAACCATCTGTTCATCCCAAGGAAGATCCAGATTCTCCTTAAAATCCAAATCACCTACAGCCCGGCTAAGTGCTAGCGTTCCATTAACACGCTGAGACTGAACTGTTCCTCCAGCCTTCTCTATCCTAGCCCTTTCAGAAGGAACTGACGGTTTATGGTCAATGCTCAGTGGTACAGCAGTGTTTCCTCGGTACAGAACCGCTCGGCAATCACCAGCATTCGCACACACAACTTCACCTTTTGACAAAAGTACACAACTTACAGCAGTCCCACCCTCTGAACGAAGTGCGGGCATCGTTGCTATTTTCGCATCCAAGGACTTAAAGGCCTTTTTGAATGCCTCGGTAAAGTTGGCCTCACGGTACTCTGGAGTAGCCATGAGTTCATCAAGAAGGTGACTACTACAATACTTCGCAATCTTATGTCCATTATGACCATCAAATACCCCGAAAAACGCATGTTGTTTATTGCCGTCAAGATTCAGCTGCGCAACATGTGCGTCTTCCATAGACTTTCGCCACCCCTGCATCCCACAACAGCCAACACGAATGTGCGACGTTTCGAACGTGCTAGTGTGTTTTTCCGTAACAGGCTTGGATAGTGTGTCGCCCATTTCTTTGCAGAAATCCAAATAGAAAGACCCTAAAAAAAAAAAGAACAAAAGAAGAAACAACGATCTTTGTATATATTTATATGAAGCAAATGAATAAAAAAAAATTAATGAACAGATAATTATAAGCATATTGACAAATAAAACTTTATCAGAACAGCTAAGCACAATAAATGTTAAAACATCTTAAACACATATAAATTTAATATCTCGTAACACAAGAAAAAACACACACAGACAACTCAACTAATCCTCATCTGAAAAATCTTGCAACTCATGAAATCTCCCAAGAGCACCAGAGAGTGTTGTTGATTGGCCCCTATCGCTCAATTTGGATGTAAAGCCTACAAACACAGCTTGGTCTTCTCGCGACACCGTAACAAGAGGCTGTTTTTGAATAGCAGCATTATCAGATGCTGGTTCAAAATATTGGCGATCTTTTGAATGAGTTATCTCAACAGAAAAAGGTGCCTTTTCATGACGAATACTGTCCGAAACAGGTACACCATCAAAAAATGGATGACGCAATATCTCTTCACATCCATAACGTTCTTCAGGATCAGCAATCAAGTGTGAAATTAAATCAACCGCATTGGAAGAAAGTGCCTCAGGTTCTTGAGGAAACTCCAGGTATTCTTTAAAATGAACTATCTTTTTTGCAGTTCCTGCCGAGCTATCATTGAAAAATGGTGGATAACCACATAACATTTCATAAAGAATGATGCCCACACCCCACCAATCACATGAATAGGTGTACCCCCGGCTTTGAAGAACCTCAGGAGCAATGTAAGCTGGAGAGCCGACCGTAGAAAAGAACATGGCCCTTCTTTCTTTCTTATTCTTAAATCGTCTCATCATATCGACATCTTTTTCACTAGTATTCTCAAAATCTGATTGACAGAGGTCTTCAAGCCATTGTGGATCCCTTTTTGACAAACCAAAATCAGCAAGTTTTATATGCCCGTCACGATCAATAAGAATATTGTCCGGCTTGACATCTCTATGAACATAACCCATCTTGTGCAGAGAATGCAAGGCTAAAACTAGCTCAGCTATATAAAACTTAGCTACATCTTCCGGGAAAATATCATGACGTATAAGCCATGAAATCATATCCCCACCCGAACAGTATTCAGTCACTATATATAAGTAATCCTGATCCTGAAAACTCACAACAAGGTCGGTAATCCATGGGGAACTAACCTGCCTCAGACGTGACTTGGCATCAGAAAGAAGGTCACGTTCAGTGTGAATATTTAAAGACTGTTGTCTTTGTATGATCAGATCCTTCCTTATTTTTTTCATTGCGTACACGACATCGGGTTCCTCTGGCCTCCAGCACTGGTAAACCTCAGCAAAGGCACCTCTTCCAATTATATCGCCAATACAAAACTCATCTGCGCTATGTTTTTTTTGACGAGCATGTGAATGCTCTATGGCAAAAGATTTCCTGTCCCGTACCATACCTAAAACATAGTATTCGCCTGTATACTTCTTCGCCACAACAACCTTGGCATCAGTTCCAACCTTGGGTTTTGACTCCTCTGCCATGAATGTTCTCTATTTTGCGTGCCAATGCTTTATTATTTGTTTCCTGCTACGACTGGAAAGAACAAATTCCGGTGGACAACAAAAAAAAGGAAAAAATAAGTAAAAAAGCTTCAACACACAGGGGTGCATAAAGTCAAACGTCATCCGGTTCCAACTAATCACAGCAAAAAAAAATTTCAAAGTAGTTTCTTCAACTTCTTCAGATTTTTTTCTTTACCAATCTTTACCTTGGCTACGTCGTTCTTTACGCCACTATGCCCTTTTAAACGTCGTGCCTTCAAACTAGTTTTGAGCTCTTTTTGAATTTTGGGATCCTTCCAGTCCAAGAACGAAGCTTTCTTCATATCGGGAGGGAGATGAATCAATCGAACGCTTGGTCCCTTCAAAAAGACACGGCACTCTACAGACAGCGAAGAATCGCAATGTTGGCAACGTACATCAAAGAGTTCAATATCGCCGTGCTCCATGTCAAAACGCGAAAGCTTTCCAATGTAAACAGAACCGTCAACAGCTTCGACCTTCACGAGCAGACCCGTTGCCTCAACAACGGCAAACATCGTAGTATCACCGACTTCCGGCATTCCCCTTTACCTAAACAGAAAGGCCAAAAAAAAAGGAACAAAAAAAAAACCTGCACCCACCCGGCTGATCCACAAAAACGAGAAAACCACAATGTGGCGAGGGACGACCCCCCACACCCGAAACTTGCTCCTCCTCCCCGCCCGGGGTTTCGGCACGCCTGAGCCCGGACCGCCCCCG